CCCTGCTGTCTCTGAGCCAGGCCTCTCCAAAGAAGGCATCCAGAAGTCACGAGCCCGTACCCCCGCTCGGCTTGGGCTCTCCCTCCCACGCTGCAGCCCAGGGAAGACCGGATGGCTTCACTGTGCCCAGGTCTCACCAGATGGCCCTCAGGACCCAAGCTCCGTGGCCTCTGCAGGTGTCCCCCGAGGGGAGGGCTGCTGCTGGAGCCGGCAGAGCCAGGCGGAGAGCGGCCTCCTCAGCTTCAGGCAGCAGAAGCATCTGTCCAGAGCCCCACAGCTGTGGGCCCTGCGAGCGTGGGCGGGAGGGGCCGTGCCCACAGCTGGCCCCGCCACTTGGCTGGCAGCGCATGGGTTCCTGCCGGGCTCAGGGGGCCCTTTCCAAGCAGGTGGGACCTGGTGGGGTAGGGGGCGTTCTGCAAAGGAAGAAGAGGCCCCCAGGCGTGGGGTCTGTGGTATGCAGGCCCTTCCGGGCCACCATCCATCCCCTCGGTAGTGCAGACTGGTCGGTCGGTCGGTCGGTCACCCGCAGGGGCCGTGACTGGGGAGGGCGTGGCGACTCGTGTTTAGATGCTGGGATGGTTCACAGACCCCACACCTCCACCGCCCACCTCACTTTCAGAACCCGCTAAGCCACCTAACCGCTTGGAGCGTCCCAGTCAGAATGAAGGGCACCGAGGCAGCCCAGACGGCCACAGCTCCACGGGGCAATGCCTCTCTGGGCCTCAGTTTCTCCCTCTGTGCCGTAGGAATTGGTCCCAGAGGGTGAATCAGAGTGAGTCAGAGGAGAGGCACGGGCGGGGCTCCTTGCCACGTCCCAGCGAGATGGACCAGCAGTTCTGGGGTAGAGTCAAAGATGGGTGGCACTTGGATGGCGGAGGTAGCTTGAGGAAGGTGATGTCCGCTGCTGCGGACCTGGGGGCAAAGGAGGCATGGCCCTAGGCTGCTCTCCGGAAGGGCAAAGTTCTCAAGGCTCCCTGGGGCTCTCCCTTAGATGGCCGACAGGGGAGCTCAGACTCAGTCCTTGCTGGCTGGCCCACCCACTGCTGACAGGAGAATGGACTGGCTGGCAGCTTCACCCTTGGACCTCTGAGGAAGAGGTGGTGGGTTTATGTCTCCCTCTGGGACAAATCGGCACTCAGACATGGCAAGCTTTCGCGTTGCCAGGCAGAGCCTGCGGAGCAGCCAGCCAGGCTGGCCTGTGTGGGGCTGGAGTAGCCAGTGTCATCTGCTGAGCCCCAGACACTAAGCAAGGGATAAGACAGGCCAGTGTCTGTCACCCAACTTCCGGGAGTCCTCTGGCAGTCTGGTCTAGAGGTCTCTGAGGTCCCTAGGGCTCTCCAGGAGGTATGGCCTCCAAGACAGAGTCGTCTTGGAGCTTCTAGACCTGGGCATCACCCCAGCTGCATGGAGGTGTCCTTTTGGGAGTGTGGTGAACAGAGAACACAGCCCATCCTCCCCCGAGGGCCCTAGGTGCAAGGAGCTACTGTGGCCAGGGGTGGGAGGAAAAATAGGCTAGGCCTGGGGGTTTTCCACCCGTTGTCTTCTGTGATCCTAAAGGCCTTTGCTGGCCTCTGTCTAAGCGCATCCCTCAGATGCAGTCTGGGTGCTGTGGTGGAAGCTGGGTTCACCATCGGGCAAGCTCTTTTTTCCATCAGTGTGATGGGACAGTCAGGACATGGAGGAATAGGTGGAAGCCCAGGAGGGGTGCAGTGAATAAGGATCTTGGGGTGACCCCTGGTTCTCCCAGACTTGGGCTTTTGAGAAAGCCCCACATCCCAAGAAGCTCTGGGTTCCCTACCCATCTGTACAGGTGGTTCTCACAGCCCCTGTCCCTTCCCTTCTCTGTGTCACTGTCCTAGGATGCATAGAAGAGCTAAGGGAGGGGGCCCAGAGTGGCCACCTGGGCACGGGTCCCAGGACACTGTAGACCTAGGAGCAGCTGTCCCTGCTGTGTTTCCAGCACACGCACACGCGCGCGCACACGCACACACACACACACACACACACACGCACACGCACACACACACACACACACACACACACACACACACGAGTGGGGCAGATCATTTCTTCTGACACACTGTGGGCAGTGGTTGCTCCTCACCTTCCTGTGTCCTTGCCCCACAGTTGCTGGTTGAGAAGACTACAGACTCCCCGGCGGCAGAGTTCTCGCTGGTGGAGGACGTGGCCCTGCACTTCGCCTGCTTGATGGGCCGCCTGAACGAGCAGCGTCTCTTCCAGCCAGACCTGTGCGACGTGGACCTCGTGCTGGTGCCCCAGCGTAGCGTGTTCCCCGCACACAAGGGCGTGCTGGCTGCCTACAGCCAGTTCTTCCACTCCCTCTTCACACAGAACAAGCAGCTGCAGCGGGTTGAGCTGTCTCTTGAGGCGTTGGCGCCCGGTGGCCTGCAGCAGATCCTGAACTTCATCTACACATCCAAGCTGCTGGTGAACGCAGCCAACGTGCACGAGGTTCTCAGTGCGGCCTCGCTGTTGCAGATGGCGGACATCGCAGCCTCCTGCCAGGAGCTGCTGGACGCTCGATCCCTGGCGCCCTCAGGCCCCGTGGCCCTGGCACAGCCAGCTGCCAGCTGCACCCCAGTTCCCCCACCACCCTACTACTGTGACATCAAGCAGGAGGCAGACACCCCGGGCCTGCCGAAGATCTATGCCCGAGAGGGCCCTGACCCCTACTCTGTGCGTGTGGAGGATGGGGCGGGGACCTCTGGGGACTCTGCTGCTCCTGGGCCAGCACAGCCACTCCTCTTCAAGGAGGAAAAGGAAGGGGCACCCGAGGAGGCCGAGGCCCCTGGTAGCCTGTGCAAGCTAGAAAGTGGAGAGGGTCTGGAGCCAGAATTGGGTGCCTCGGGCACCTATGGGCGCCAGGAGCAGTCACAGATCATTGTAGAGGTGAACCTCAATAACCAGACACTTCACGTGTCCACCGGAGCCGAGGGCAAGCCAGGCTCTGGGGCCACCGTGGTGCTGGGCCAGGAGGATGGCATGCAGGGACATTCAGAAGAGGAGGGAGGAGGAGGGAGTGGAAGGGGGGAGGAGGGGGAGGAGGAGGAGGAGGAGGAGGAGGAGGACGGAGGCAGCCAGGGAGAGGAGGAGGAAGATGAGGAAGGACCCAGCGAGCAGGAGGAGGAAGATGAGGAGGATGGGCCCAGCGAGCAGGATGCAGAGAGTTCGGAGGAAGAGCGGGAGGCTGAGGGCAGGCCCTTCCCTATGGGTCCTGCAGGGTGTCAAGACAGCCAGGAGGACCCTCCGCTGCACAGCCGCATGTCCACACGGTCCCGGGGACAGAACACTCAGCGCCGAACCACTCCGGAGCCAGAGGAGGCCGGGCGTAGAGGGGGGGGGAGGCCCAAGGCCTCTGGAGCTGTTCCTGCAACCCAGGCAGCTGATGGGCTGGGGGCCAAGGTGAAGCTGGAGGAGAAACAGCAGCATCCATGCCAGAAGTGCCCTCGGGTCTTCAACAACCGCTGGTACCTGGAGAAGCACATGAACGTGACCCACAGTCGCATGCAGATCTGTGGCCAGTGCGGGAAACGCTTCCTGCTGGAGAGTGAGCTGCAGCTGCATCGCCAGACAGACTGCGAGCGGAACATCCAGGTGAGGCGTGCCTCCCAGGTGGTTCCCAGGCCTGGGCCAGGCTTGCTCCAAGAGGAGGAGGCAGGTGGAGCTGGGCTCCGGCCCATACAGTCATGTGGCGGAAGAGTGGAAATTATGTGGCTGCCTGAGGTCAGGGGACAGTAGGGACTGGGGAGCGATGTGTCTTTTCACTAATACCCAGGGCCCAGAGCTGCCTGTGTGGTTAGTCATCGGTTGTCCACTACACAAAAGGGGAGGGGCTTGCCTGGAGAGAGCAGCACCCTCCGCTCCCCCTAAGGTCACTGTGTAGGGCAGTAGGCAGCCCATCGGGAGGAAGCCCCTGCGTTCAACTAAGTGGAGGTGCCAGCTACCTGGAGGAAAAGGACTGGATGAAAAATTTGGAAAGAACTGTGTGTGGGAGGAGGGGGTGGCGGGGAGGGGGGGATGGCTGCCAGGCCTTGGGCCAGTCTGCCTCTGTCTGAGCACACCCCAGTATGCGTGTGCATGCATACGTGTGCACACGCACACAGGACCAGCTAGTTTTCTGGCCCAGGAGGGGAAAAAAATGGCCACAGGTAGGCGGGTGTTAATTACCTGGACTAATTGCTAATTGTGATGCCAGTGGGGAAGGTGTGACCTGGTAACCTGCCCATCCCCCACTCTGTGCACCTGCTTCCTGCCCCTGGGCTGTTTCTCAGCTGTTCCTGCTGCACCTTAAGTCACCCCAAGGGGGTGAAGCCTTTACTCCTTCCTGCAAGCCCGTGGTGGCCTCCTGCCTCTGGGGCTCCTCTGGGATGAGCAGGACAGGGGTCCAGGAGAGCCACCCTCAATCCACCCAGCCTTCACTGCCTGGAAAGGCCTGAGAGGGGCATCCTGGAAGTGGTACCCCAGCAGCCCTGTGGGTAGGTTTGGGGGGAGCCAACACAGGTTGGGAGCATCGAATCCAGCCGTCTCACCAGCACTTTTCAGAAGGAGAAACTGAGGCCGAAGCTAGCCTCACATCCAAAGCTCTGTTCCTTTTCCCCCTTAGTGCGTAACGTGTGGCAAAGCCTTCAAGAAGCTCTGGTCCCTGCATGAGCACAACAAGATTGTGCACGGCTACGCAGAGAAGAAATTCTCCTGCGAGATCTGTGAGAAGAAGTTTTACACCATGGCACATGTGCGCAAGCACATGGTCGGTGAGTCCCTGCGGTGCAGGTGTGGGCAGAGGATGGGGCCAGCTGTCGGTGTGTTGGGAAGGACAGCATCCAGGTGATGGGAGGGGATGGGGAAGCAGAGCACAGATGGGCAGTTTGCCCAGTGTGTCAGGACACCCAGGCAAGCTGGCAGGTGGGAATCCAGCTGGCACACTGCTGGCCAGGCTGCGGACCCTCCCCTGCCATGGGGTTCAGTCCACCCATGGAAAGGAACAGCTTTCCCTGGATTGCATGATTCCACGTTTGCTGGCACAGTCCTGTCTCGGTGTGACAGCCAATGGGCCTCTAATGCTTTCTCACCTTTTGGCCCTCACAGGGCATCAGGCTTCTCTTGAGTACAACTTCCCCCAGGGCTCACACCTGAACACAGTAAGGAGGCCTCCCCAAGTTCAATAGCCACGCCATGTTCAGGCAAGGCTGCACACTCTCCAGGTGGGCCTGGCTGAGTGTCCCGAGTTCCTGTGGTCACCTTTTCTCAACTGGGCTCCAAGCTCCGGGGAGGAGTGATCAAATAGACAAATGGCCCCACCTCCCTTTCTCCACTGGACAGTGTAAACTGGATGGGACTGGAACCCTGGGGTCTAGGTCTTGGCCAGGAGCATGCTGGGTAACCAGATTGGTGATCTCTGAGCTGGGAGGGCTATCTCCTGCAGATGTTTTCACTGGCCTCATGTCACTGGGCGGGCCCAAGGCTGAGGCCTTCACCTCGGATATGCCATTGAGTTCAGTGCCACCGTCCCGGGAAAGTGTGGGGTACAGGGCTGCCAAAAGGCAGGTCTGAAAGTGGGGGTTCAGGTAGATGCCCTGGAGAAGTGACGGCTGGCACCCACCCACAGCCCATACCAAGGACATGCCCTTCACCTGTGAGACCTGTGGGAAGTCCTTCAAACGCAGTATGTCACTCAAGGTACACTCGCTGCAGCACTCGGGGGAGAAGCCTTTCCGCTGTGAGGTGAGCTCTGCTTCCTGCTGCCTGTCGACAGGGTCCCCTTGGTGGGCCCACCCTCACCATCAGGGATGGGGAGGAAGGGAGGTCAGAGGGAGCTGGAGGTCTGGATTGGTGTAGTCCCAGCACTGGAGAGGTGGACGCTGCATGAGCAGATCAGCCTCAGTCATTCAATGAGTCAGCAGTGTGTGTGTGTGTGTGTGTGTGTGTGACAAACAAACCAACAGAAGGGAAGGCTGGGGAGACAACCAACCAAGAAAATGCTTGCTTTGCAGGCTTGAGAGCCTGAGGTTCAATCCAGGTGTTCGTTTTTTTTTTTTTTTTTTTGTTTTGTTTTGTTTTTTTTTTTTGTTGTTGTTTATATTGCTTTTACTAAATTAAAGTTGGGCATGGAGGAACATGCTGGCAATCCAGTGCTGGGGAGGCAGAGATGGGTGGGTGGGTGCCTGGAGCTCACTGGCCAGTCAGCACAGCCTAAACAAAGTCCAGGCCAGTGAGAGACTCTCTCAAAAGCAGCTAAGGAGGAGGGCACCTGAACAAACACAGAGGTTGACTACACAGGCACATCTATCAGTGTGGACTCATGCACACACGCACACACACACACGTGCACACACATACACACACACACACACACACACACACGCTCCAGCACACATGCACACAATCACACGTATGTGCACGCGCACACGCTTGCACAGTTTCAGGTTGGGTGAAGTAGGGTTAGGCCATCTGCAGCTCTTCCCCTCCTCACAGAACTGCAATGAACGCTTCCAGTACAAGTACCAGCTGCGCTCACACATGAGCATCCACATTGGCCACAAGCAGTTCATGTGTCAGTGGTGTGGCAAGGACTTCAACATGAAGCAGTATTTTGATGAACACATGAAGACCCACACAGGTGCGTGCCCTCTGCCCGGGCCTCAGTTTACCTCTGGACCTCCTTGTCCCTGAGTTTGGTGGGCTGGGGTGGGGTGCGGTGGGAACTAGAGTTGGCCATAACACGCTTGCCGCCCTCCAATTACAGGGGAGAAGCCATATATCTGTGAGATCTGTGGCAAGAGTTTCACCAGCCGCCCCAACATGAAGCGGCACCGGCGTACCCACACCGGAGAGAAGCCCTACCCATGCGATGTATGCGGCCAGCGCTTCCGCTTCTCCAACATGCTGAAGGCACACAAGGAAAAGTGCTTCCGTGTCAGCCACCCACTGCCCGGCGACCCTGCCACCCTGCCCGCCACACATCTGCAGCCCACAGCCCCGCTCTTCCCCGCTGCAGCTCCCAGGCTGGACACCAACTGACCCCCAGCACAGGCCCTCAGGCCAGGGACAACAGAAACACAGGCTATGCTGCAGTCAGATGCCCCGGCGTTGGGTCCTGGTGCATGCTGGGATGTCCCTTTTGCAGCTCTTACTCCTTGCAGGTTTTACTCCTTTTCTTTGGGAGTAAAGGAACTGAGAGGGACCGGTTGGCTACACCCCTCCAGGTGAGGGGTGCTGGAGACAACAGATACAGGGCAGGAGGGGCTCTGGGCTGCAGACATGGCCATGAGCCAGGCAGGGCCTGGGTCAGCCTCACCTGTTCATCCCAGCTTCCCTGTGTCCCTAACTTACTCCCTAGGATGGGAGGGCTTGGGAAGAATTTGGGTGCACCCCTGTTGAAGGAGTTGTGGACCGCCCCTCCCCTCAGGAGGCCTGTGGCCAGGGAGGCATGGCAGGGTGGGGGAGTGGCAGGGTGTGAAGATGGCAGACCCCCCTCTGTGTGGGGAAGGTGGGGGCTGGCCCCCATAAGTTTCTTTTCCTAGTCACATCCCTGCCAGGCAGGCTCAGGGACCCTCAGCCTGTGCTGGACTTTCAAGGAGCCCCCAAATCCTGGAGCAAATCTCTCTGGGTGCTGGGGACCAAGCCTTCAGGGGGGAGGGTCCTGCAGGAGAATGAGCTCCCAGGGGTGGGCCCTACAGGAGCCTCAGGCAAGTAGTTCAGGGTTTCACGGTGCTATCTGTGTGTCAGGGGACGAGGAGCTGTCCACAGGGCACCCCTGTCCCTCACCAGCCTGCCTGGCTGGACTCCCCCACCAGGAGACACGTGCATCTGTGTCTGTTCCCCGGAGGCCCACATGAGGCCTCCTCTTCTCCTGGGGCCAGGCCACTACCTGCCTCTGGCTGGCTCCTGGCCCCTCCTGCACTCTGCACTGTCTGGTGTGCCACAGCCCAGACAGGGAGAGAAGTCAGTGTGTTTAGACCCCTGTGGGAGCTCAGCCAGTGCCCAGTGCTTGCCCTTGGGAGGCAGGCAATAATAGGTGACCCTTCTCTGTTGTCATTTACCGTCCTTACTCCTGCGTTTCAATGGTTTCCATAAGCTACATTTCCGAGTTCTGGTCACCCCCACTGTTGATAAGCTTCTGTTTGCCACGTTCTGCACCTTACCCCCGCCCATTACCACCTCCCCAGCATGGCCACACTGGGAAGAGGCCTGTGCCCAAGGGGACTGGCACAGGGTACCAGACCCCTCTGGCCTCAGAAACCCATGGAGCTGGGACAGGGCTGGGGACATTTTAATCATCAATAAACGATGCACTTTATTCTGTACAGATGTGGGCAGGCCCGAGGTGCCCTGCTGACTTGGCTGTCCTCTGGACTAGGAAGGACTGAGTGATCAGGGACCCCGATGTAGGCTTCCTTTCCCAGCCTGGAGAGTCAGGCTACAAACATAGCCTCAGGTCCCTCTTGTGTCCACAGGGGAGACAGGTGGGACTTGTCTGAGAAAGGAATGTTTCCCATTTGGCTTGCAGACTCCTGCCTCACTGCCCAAGGTTTGGCTTCTAGCTCCTTCCCTGTACCTGTTGTTCCCCCCACTACCCTTGATCTCTGGGCTTCCGAAATGTCCTCAGGGACCCCTTCCCTGCCTCTCACTATTTCTAACCTTTGGCCCCAGTGCCTGGCAGGCAGCTCTCCAGAGCTGGCTCACATTAAAAAAAAAATGACCTCAAGGGTTCCCTATCCTTCTTGTCACTTGCTGGCCCTGGTGGCCTTCATGGGGCCAGGACCCTGGTCTGTGTGGCCATTCTTCAGTAAGCAGCAATCTGAAGGGTAGGGTGTGGGGATGAAACCCTGTCCCAGGCGTTGGGTTTCATACACACCCTCCCCCAGGGGCCAGACAGGTTCTGGGCACTGGCTGGGATGGTTGCTGTGTGGAAGGTGGGCACAGCCCTCTCCCTAAGGCCGCTGTGTGCCTGGTGCTGCTTGTTCCACCCTGCCCACATGGAGCGCCCCCCCCCCATGCTTCTCCATGCCCTCCCTGGAATTGGGGTTCTTGCCTCACCAGCTTTTATGCTTTATTTTTAAAAAGATAGGTCAAGTTGCTGAATGTTGGTATGAGGGAACTGAGCATCGTGACGATTTCCCAAGCCTACCCAAGAGACAGCGGCCTTGGGACCATCACCTCTGGGGAGACTTGCTGGGGTCTCTTGCACAACTGGACTTGGTAGGCCCAGTCCTGGGCCTGTTCCTCTGAGGTGAAGCAAGCTGCTCTGGTCTTGGAGCAGTTGTTTCAGAGTCTCCATGGAGGCGTGGTGGGCTCTGAACCCAGGGATGGCCACCTCCGTATGCCCTCACAGGGGTCTAGGTGGTGGCAAGAAGGCCAGACACGGATGTGTGGAGCCTTAGTGTCCGGTTGTATATGACATCCCCATGGTCCCACGGTGCGTACAGTAGGCATTTGAGGGAGAGGAGAGATGGGGGAATAAACTCAGTACTGCTCCTGGCCTTTGGCCCAGCCTTTTCTTTGTATGTTGCCACCTTGAGCCAGGGTAGCAGGTATCCCTTCATCTCAGCACCCGACCCTCATGGCATTTAGGGCATCCATGTGGCCCCCGCTTCCCCCAGCAAAGTTTGGATGAGATGGGCATCACACTGCACCTGGGTCTTGGGTCAGACACAGAACGGCCCAAAAGACCTGAAGCTCTGGCGTCTGCTGAGGTAGTAACTCCCAAAGCAGTACCAATGAGAGTCCAGGGCCTGTCTCTTTCATCTACACTTTCAAACCCCGTAGCTCTGAGTGTCAGGGACCTCACAGGTATTTCCTGGCACTCATGCTCTACCTGGAATTGTGGGCCCTGGAGACATGGGTCTCCACAACTGTGATCTGTCACCCTGCCCACAGGTGCAGACTATCTCAGACCTGGAGGTCTGGTGTGGGGGGCTGTGGGTGGGTCAGCTGTCTATTCCGATTCCTCTGGGGTTGCTCTCATCTCCTGCTTCAGAAGAAACAGGTTGGACTCAAGACACTCTTGAAAGCTAGATTGGGTAAAATGTGTCTGTAACACCCGAACTTGGGAGGCAGAAGCTAGAGAGTTAGGAGTTCAAAGCCGCGTTTGGCTATGCAGTGAGTTCTAGGGCAGCCTGCCCTATGGAATTGACACCCTGTCTCCAAAAGGCTTAGGACTCTAAGCAAGCTCTGATGTGAGGGGGCTTCTTTTGTTGTTGTTTGGTTTTTCGAGACAGGATTTCTCTGTGTCACTTTGGCTGTCTTGGAACTCACTCTGTAGACCAGGCTGGCCTTGAACTCACAGATCTGCCTGCTTTCTGCCTCCTGAGTGCTGGGCTGTGAGTGGGCTTTTTGGGAACACCCTGTTATATTATTTTCTTTCACCTATGCACTCTTTCCTGCAGTGTGCCACTTTCACACAAAGTCTGGGCTGTATAGGCTGTGGGTGCTGGGCAGGATTCAGAGTGCCCATTCCATTCCCCCAGGATTTGGGCCCAGGTTGCTGTCTAGCCTCTTGTCTTGAAGTCTGGCCGGGAAGGCTGTGCCCTGTCAGTGAATAAAACATGCACTCTGGCTCAGCAGTACTCTCCAGCCTTCCCGGGCTATGACATGGCTTTTGAACTGTGTCTGGCAAGTAACTGGGGTGAGGCAGGATCCCACTGTGCTGACAAGTCACCCCCACTTCAGTGACAAAACACCTATGACCCTGTGAGGTCTGTGGGAGAGGTTTTGGTGCCCCAGAATGGCAGATTACTTTGATTGGTAGCACAGTCATACTGACTTGGGCCTCCAGAAGGAGCTAGGGTGGGAACAGCATGCTGCCATTCGGGGATGGCATCAATGACGTTTCTATGTTATTATCCGAGGCTCCATGGCCAAGCCCTACTTCAAAGTGATGTCGAAAGAGAGCCCTAGTGAGCAGCGGGAATGAATAGAGCTCTAGAAATACAGGGGGCAGCGATACCCTCTCCTGCATTTTGCCTTGGTCTCTGGAGGCCAGATTGCCAGGCAGTCTACTCGGCCAACACCTGAGAGCTGAGGCAGGAGGATTGATTGGGCCCAGAAGTTTGAGGCCAGTCTACAACATAGACCTTGTTTCAAAGTGAATACAGTAGTGTGTGTGTGTGTGTGTGTGTGTGTGTGTGTGTGTGTGTGTGTACATACATACGCATACATGTGTGTGAGTACTGACATGAACAGATCAGAGGGTGGCCTCCAAGTGTCAGTTTTCATGTTTATTGGGATGGGTGCAGGATCTCTCGTTTCTCCACTTGGTAGGCTAGGCTAAGGCCTCTAAGCTTCCACGTGTTCTTATACCACTACCTTCCATCTCCCCGTGGAGCTGTTGGGACTTCAGGTTCGAGTTCTGTGTCCAGCTTCACATGGGTTCTGCACTTTACCCACTGAGTCCCTGTCTCAGTAGGGTTTCTATTGCTGTGATGAAACACCATGACCAAAGAGCAAGTTGGGGAGGGAAGGGTTTATGTGGCTCACACTTCCAGATCGTAGTCCATTATTGAAGGAAGTCAGGACAGGAAATCAAACAGGGCCCGAACCTGGAGGCAGGAGCTGATGCAGATGACGGAGGGAGCTGCTTACTGGCTTTCTCCCCATGGCTTGCTCAGCCTGCTTTCTTGAGAACCCAGGACCAGCATCCCAGGGACGGCCCCACCCACCATGGCCTGGGCCCTCCCCCATCGATCACTAATTGAGAAAATGTCTTATAGCTTGATCTTAGGGAGACATTTCCTCAGCTGAGGCTCCTTCCTCTAATGACTCTAGCTTGTGTCAAGTTGACATACAAAACCAGCCAGTACAGTGCACAAGTTCATGTATGCACATGTGTGTGCAAGCACCCGTGCACGATGTAGCTGATAAAACCTTGAACTTCTCGTACACCTCCTCCTCCATCTCCCCCATGCTGGGTCCTGTAGGCATGTCCCAACACTCCCGGTTATATGCAGCCCTGGAAATCCAGTCCGAGGTCTTGTGCATGCTAGGTAAGCACTCTAACAACTGAGCCATAACCCTACCCTGAGTACACTTTTTTCGGGGTGAGGAGTGTAAAATATAAAGTGTGGAGAGAATCTGGATAAAAGGCGACAACAGCACTGCCAAGGCCTTGCAGGAAGGTGGGGGAACCTGCTAGATGTCCACAGATGGCCTTTGGGGCCTGGGAGAGCGGGGAACACAGACCCCGTCCTTCTGCACGTCTCAGGGAGCAACTGAGCAGACCCCACCTTGAACTCTTCTCCACACCCTTGCCTAGTGCCCATGCCCCCCTGGGGCACCTGGGTAAAAACAAAGTTCTCAAGCTCTCTGCAGTTCCTTGTGGCTGCCCAGACTGCAGGTTTCTGAGGTGCTGGGAACATGAGGAAATGGAAACTCAGAAAACTGGAGCTATTTGCATAAGCAGACTCTAATCGACACAGGAATTAGATCCCAGGCTTGTCCCAGTCTAAGCCACTTGCTGTGTAAATACCACACCATATTTCTTCCCTCGGAGATAGACACGTGTCATTGTTGAGCAGGACCAGGGCTCCTGGCAAAGGGCAGAATCCGCTCTCTCTAAAGCAGAGAGCAACTGGACATAAGGACACTAAGTCTTCAGAAGAACCGAATTCCACCAGAAGCAAATGCAGCCTTGTGCAAGGGGAGGTGTTGGCTTTTCCTTCTTCTGTGGAACCTGGAGTGTGCTTACAGATATTTTCTCTGGCTCTGGAGATGGTCACGTGTTTTTACCCCTGCTTTCGTAGCATGAAAGTTTGGTTTTGAGATTTCGCTGTTCACGCTTCCTTTTTATGTGTCTTGTTGAAGCTGAGGACTCAATTCCCTGATCAAAATACCTAAGATATTCTCCTGCACCTCCCCAAATACTCACAGCCCCGTGTTTACATTACTAAAGCCACACACATTTATTTAACTCCCCGAGAGTCCAATCTAAGTCTCAGCATTGCCAAGGCACCCGCTCTGCTCCAGCACCCCTCACCATGTACGCACATGTACAAGTATGTTTCGTGATGATAAAACACATGTAAGAGCTGTAAGTCTGCGTGTGTGTGTGTGTGTGTGTGTGTGTGTGTGTGTGTGTGTGTGTGCAAATGCTGGTGTGAGTGTGTCCCAGTGTGCCTGAGAAGAACAGAGGGCAGCCTTCTGTGTCCGTCATGACCGGGACAGGATCTTATTTTTCGGATGCAGATTCCAGGCCAGCTGCCCCTCTGGAGATCCTCCCGTCTTCCCCTCCATCTCCTGGTAGCATGTGAGTTACAGATAGTTACACCTCTGCATCTGGCTTTGGTGTGGATCTGAGCACAGGTCATCAGCCTTTTTAGGCAGGTGGCTAATTGCTGAGCTGTCTCCCCAGCTCCAAATTTCACTTTAATCCCCATCAAGCATACAGATAGCTGTCATCAAACTCACACTGTATACGGCCTCACCGCCACCCACAGACACAACTTTTCACCTTCCCAAACTGAAATCCTTTCTGTCTACCGCCAGAACCCTGGCAACCACCTCTCTACTTACTGCCTCTGCTCATACAAATGGGGTCACAGTATTTATTTCATTGAGCAGAAAGTCTTCAAGGTCCATCCATGGTACAGCAGACGTCAGAATTTAAAGAGGGAACAAAATTACATGTGTATTTTTGGGATATTTTTACATTTTATTTATTTGATGTGTGTGTGTGTGTGTGTGTGTGTGCGTGGTGTGTGTGTGTGTGTGTGGTATGGTGTGGTGTGTGTGTGTGTGGTGTGTGTGTGTGTGTGTGTGTGGTGTGTGTGTGTGGGGTGTGTGTGTGTGTGTGGTATGGTGTGGTGTGTGTGTGTGTGGTGTGTGTGTGTGTGTGTGTGGTGTGTATGTGTGATGTGTGTGTGTGTGTGTGTGTGTGTGTTATGGTGGATGTGTTTGGTCTGTGTGTGCGTGGTGTTCACTGTGTGCTTGTGGGACCCAGCTGTCTTTCCACCATGTGGGCTCCAAGTATTAAACTCTGGTCCTCACACACCTTTGCCCTTGAGCCATCTTGCCTCTCCTGTTTGTCTTACTAAACTTGGGGATTTTCAGCCATTATTACTGGACTTACCTTTTGAATTGTCTCCCTCCCACCCTCCCCCCTCCTCTCTCTCTCTGATCTTTTATTACAATAAGCGTAAGCAGTCAAATTAACTTTAGTGCTCCTTGTCTTTCTTGAATTATTTTTTTCCCAGTTCAGGGATAAGTACTCTACTCAAAGCTCCCTCCCCCAGCCTGGCCCCTCCCGGGTCTGCTTCTGTGAATTCAGGTTCAGAGCACAGTCAGGGTGTGTGCAGATGTTTAAATGTTACTCCTGCCAGTGCTGCCTGGGAATGGAGGGAATTCCCCAGGCCAGCCTTCTGTCTCTGCCTGGGAAAATGAGTTTCACGCCCAGGACACCTGGCTTGCATGCTTGCTGGTGATGGGTCTCCTACCTCATCTCCCTGTGGGTTCAGTTTGTGACAGGAACGAGCCTTCCTGCACTGC